GAGCGCAATGTTGTAATAAGTGTGCATGTGTGTGATGCATGTCTTCCAACCCCCATTTCTTTCTCCCTTTTATTTAACCGCTTACGATGGTTAGATTTAGGGCATTTTTCAATTAGCATCTTTATGCTATGCATGTTTGCATCATTTATATGTCTTGCATGCACCGGGCTCGGCGCATCATACTAACTACATTGTATTTCAATTCCAAGTTGAATACGTGTTAGTTGTAGCATCTCACATGCCATCTTAGAATAGTCGAGCCTATCTTAGTTGCATTTTGCATGTGTCGCATTAGCCATCTTAACATGAACTAGGATCATGCATTGATTACTAACTAGTTTTTGTTTTGGCTCGGACTACTCGGTAAGTGTTTATGCTTTAGCATCCTTGCATGCGTGTGAGTGATTGCCATGATAGCATGCTTACCATGAGGCTATATGCTTATGTGATATAACAGCCTGAATGCCTGTGGGTGAAGGTTGGGTTGCTTGAGTTGGAATAATTCGTCGAAACCTGTGTTTTAGCCTACTTGCGAGTAGCAAACTTCAATCCATTTTTCGAAACAAACGGATGTACGATACTTTGTTCCAACTTAGGCAATCCAGTCTATACTTGTTTTGCTGTGCACATCATGTAGTAATTATAGACTAATAAACCGAAATAAGAGCACATAATGTCTTCAAAAATCGATATCATGGTTAGTAGAGGCCGATCTCTGATCGTGCGAGCGAGGGTGCTCATAGCTAACCTTCCCCAATCGTACCTAAGTTCCCGAGCTGAGGCAACTTTGGTGATGACGGACACGTGGCCTTAGGCAAGGAGTCAGGGTTTCCTAAATTCCCCCAAAATAAATATTTAGGTGGCAACTCAGTATCTGGCAAAGCAATCCATGTTTGGCACTTCTTTCTTAAAAATCTATTTTCCAAAATAGTTTGCCGGATTTGGACTCTTTGGTGATTTATCAATCTCACATCGCACATTGTGAGATCAGATTAAGAACCGTGACTATTTGAGTCCGAACTGTAACATGAGGCCCACGGGCGCGTCTACAGTAATACGGTTGGGAAAAATTAAACCCGTAATGTGGGCTACGGTTTCTATAGATAGGATTCGCGAATGTGTGGGTAAGTTGCGAATTGGACTTTTTTCTTTAAAAAATTATTTTTTGACCTTTTTTTTTAGTGGTGCTATTAGCACCCCATGAATTATTTTGGACCCTCCATTTCTTTAGACCCCCACTTATAAATTTTGAAACTTTGAAATTTTTTTTCTCCCCACAAATAATATTAAAATTATCTTTGTGAAAACATTCCACCCATTGAATGCACACCCCTACACCCCCACACCGCAAAAAAACCTCACTGTCAAAAAAACCCTAACAAAGCTCACGAAGAATAAGAAAAAGAAGAAGAGGCAATGTAATTACTATTTTTGCTGCCTTATCCACTATTGTCACAGTTTGTATGCTCTCTCTCTCTATATATATACATAATTTCTTAGTTTTCTCATAATAATTTCTTCTCTTGCAAAAAAAAAAAAAAAAAATTATAATAACTGGCTTAGTTTTCTCAATAAAATAGGTCCGAACTTATGAATAATGTTCAGTTACTTGTTTTCGTACAAATAATAAATGTTCAATTATTGGTTCCTGAACAAATAAACAATGTTTGAGACTATGTTCCTGAATTTCGATCATATGTTCAGGAGTTCAGTCTCGAAAAAATAATGAACAGATTTTATTATTTTTGCCATTTTTTTCAAGAAACATATCCTTACAAGGCCAATTTCCGCTAAGTTAAGAACAATATCAAAGGTATGAACCTCCTCTAAGTTTTTATTGTTGTACTCCTCTCGTCTTATAGAGTTGTGGTTGTCAGAAAAACTTTCACTCATTGTCATTGCTGGAGAAGTGTAAGTAATCAAATGGTTGCCACCATTACCGCCGGAATATTGCCACCAAAGGGTTTTCAAGGTTTTGAGGGTGGGCAAGTTTTGAAAGTGGGATTTGGAAAAGATGGATGGGTGGTGATGGAGGTGGGTGCTCTCACAAATCATAATTCATGATGTAGTGGGTGTGTAAGTTTAATTGTGAGATGAGGTGTCCCAAAATTAATGATATCCTTTATTGTAATTTTATTTAAGGTTATTATTGTAATAAAAAAAAAGGCTAAAAATTGGGGGTTCAAAATAATTTATGATGTGCTAATAACAGCTCTTTTTTTTCTTTTTTTCTTTTTTTTCCGTTTTGTAAATATTTATTTTGGACCATTTTCTTCCCATTTTTTAAAATTCTCAACATTAATAATTAATAAATTAAAAATTATAAAATTAAAAACACAATAAAATCAATTCTTGACACAAGCAAATCATTCAAAATCTTGAACTTTTAAATAAAATCATAAACTAACACAAGCACATCTTTCAAAATCCTAAACTAAATCATCAAAATCATTCACTACCCAACAATACAATTAAAGTAAAATTATCAAAATCCTAAACTTACCTAAAAGTAATTATTCATTAACTTTTACATCAATCCAAAATGCAATAATAAAATAACAATAAATTGTTGTCAAATTTCATCCAATTCAAACCCATTAAGTAAAATAAAAAACAGTTGCAAACTCGCAAATTCCATCATAAAAATAAAAAATAATAACAATAAAAAAAAAAAGACTCTAAGTGCGGGCGGGTTCTTGAGGGTGCAGGTAAAACCCGCAATCCGCTATAATGCCATATTCCAAACTGCATCCGCTTGCATTGTGTTTGCGAAATTGCCCATTTGTATGCGGATCGGGTCGGGTTGGGCGGGTTGTACGGTTCAGATAACCTTATGCCAAGCCCTAGTACGTAGGACTCACTTAAAGAGTGTTTAATTGGTGATGTGAGTGAAAGGATTAACTATCTTCTTGGATTAGTAATCTCTCCATTTGTTAGGATTAACAAAGCTATAAAAAGGTTGGAATTAGAAATTGAATGAGGGAATTAGTGATCTTTAAATAATTTTTAAGTAAAAAATATATTTTTTTGAAAAAAAAATAATTATACTATTACAAAAATACTAAAAATTAAAAAATATTGATTTTATATATTAATATTATATATAGTATTACTAATCCGACGGTATACAAACAAAACCTGTTTATTCTACATCTATAACTAATACCACCACATTAATATTCTCACTTAGTCTCACCGTACTCTTAATTTTTTTCCATCCTATGGAGCCAAACAAATATGACCAAAAAGTCTTATCAAGATCATAACATTACACTGTCATAATACCACTCTCACCTCTATCACTATACAATTATCAATGCTGCTATCACCGTCACGCCACCATCAAATATAGAAAAATATTCTTCAAAAGACACTTCTTGAAAAAGTTTTCCGTTAGAAAATATTTCAACCCAAACAAATAGAACATAGTATCACTTTACCCTCTCATTTATGAATTTATACATTTTGATCTCCTCAATTTTGAAAATTGAATAAATACATCCCTTTTAAAAATCGTCTGAATAGATGAAAATGATACTTTTTTATAGTTAAAAATCTAAATGTGTAGATTCATAGATAAGAAAAGAAAGTAAAGTGATATTCATTAATAATTGAAGGAGTGTTAGTGTAATTAACCTTAATTTTTATTCCAAAAATTGTCTCCAATATTTCTATTTTATCCATATACTATTTGTTTCCTTTATTTAATCATTAAAAGTTTTCATTTGTGTCTATGTGATTGAATTGGAGACAATTGTATAAATTAGTAATTATTAAATCATAATTTGTCAAAGGAAAAGTAGAGCGATTTAAGTTGTAATCCGGCAAAGTTCTTTGTAAAATTGTTTTATAGATTTCTCTTAACTAATGCAAGAAGGCTCATTGCCAAATGGCCATATGTAATTGAAGGGTTAGAAGCCATACCTTCCATTGGATGAAAAAATTCACATTCATCGACGCGTGCGTGATGGCGCGTGCAGGCGCGTGCGGACGCGTGGGAGCGCGTGACAGCGCGTGGGAGAGCGTGACAGCGCGTGGGAGCGCGTGGCTGCAGTTCACGGCGTCAGGTGGCGCGTGCATACCACGCGCCGCCTTCCAGGGTGTTTTCTGGTCCGATTTTTGTACTGCCGAACTCCTTTTTTTCAAAATAAAATCATTTATGCTCTTAAAAATGACATTAATGATCATAAAAAAGAAATATTTTGGATCTCCGCATCTGAAAATTTTTTTTTCTTCCTCTACAAATATTCATGTGTATAATATATATACATATACATACAAAAGTATACACATGATCAAAGGAAACACGAAAATATCCATAAACAGGCTCCGATACCAATGTAAATCAAAGATCACAAAACATGCAGCGGAATAAAAATGATTGGATCATACCTTCTTGATGATAGAACCTTCTTGGATAAATCACGTGCTTCCAGGGAACTTCTTGATGAACTAACCCAGCAGTGGAGTGATATCACAGATTGAATATCACCCACACCAACCACAGTGTCAAAGACTTGATCGTTGTGTTTTTGGGAGAGAGTCAGAATATGGGTAGAAAACAGACTCAACGTTGTTTCTCTCTTAGATTACCCATAACCATATAACAGATATATATTATATTATAATATCTATCCATATCAGTTTAAAACTGATAATATCTATTTCTTGAGTGGTTATCCTAAATAGGTTTGATTTCAAATTCAAAACCTATTTGGATAAGGATTCAAATTCAAATTTAATGGTCATGCCACATGGGCGCCCATTACTAACATCACTAATCTAGTCCAAGTTCATAATCATAAGGTCACTGTTCTTCGATTCTAAACAACAGCCCAACAAAGCATCAGAAAATTACAGAGACAAAGAGCATATCACTCAATGAAAATTGCGAGGACCTTTTTAACTAATTCATGGAGAAGAAAGACGAGAGAGTCCCACATTGGAACAATATGAGAAAACTGAGCCTTATTTATAAGATCAGAAGAGGAAAAACGGGCATGACCGTACTTGAACAGGATCTGTTCTATAGGATCGTACCTCTGAATCCTTGAGTACAAAGGAGACAGGACCAAAACTCTGGTGGATGAACCGTGGCTACTTGACCAGAGCGTGATTAGTGGTTCTGTGGTTTAGTTAACTGGTCCACATATCCGCGGAGGATCGTTCTCAGCCGGTTTGAACTGGCTACGATGGTTAAGTAGTTGTCTGACAGATTCAATCTCCCCTCCAATCTTTTTGCAATGTAGCTTTTTTTTTTTTTTTTTTTTTTTTTTGGGTTAGGGGTTCTTTTTCATCAACAATAAACATCAGTTCGATTTCTTTTCTACTCTTTTTGTAGAGGTTTTTTCCCCTCAATATTCTAAAAAATAAACTATTTACGAAAATAATTCACTTTTAAAATTATTTATCAAACTAATTGCTTTTATAAAATTGCAATTTAAACTTGAAATTGAATATTTAACTTGTAGTTTCATATTGACATGTCTCTTAGTGATTGCTGACATGTTCAATTTTTCTTTAGTCAACAGGAAATCACAGGTTAAAGACAAGTTGAAAATCTAATTTTAAAGTGAAATTGCAAGTCAAAGTTTCGATTTCATAAAACTGGTTAGTTTGAAGAATAATTTCAAAAGTAGAATATTTTCATAAATAGTTTAATTTTTTAGAATATTCAGAAAAAGCCCTTTGTTTTGCGTAATTTTTTAAACATTGCCCCAATTTTTATCCTTTTATCTGATATATGGAATGGAATTGTGAATCTTTTCCAAATTAAACAGGTAAATTATACTAATAACAAGTTTTATAATTTTGACATAATTATATTGATTTTTTAATAAAGTAAAAATAATTAAAAATTAATGTAAATAATGTGATAGAAAGAATATATGTAGGATGAGAGGGTTAAATATTATGTGACTTAAAATTTTAAACAAATCTAGTGTAGTTATTCTAAAATTTATTAGACTTATTGTATTTTCTAAAAAAATTCAAAAAAATGGTATAATTTATTGGGGAAATTACCATTTAGGGGGTGTTTTTAAAAATTATCACATTAATGAAAAAATATAATTATAATTATTATTATTTATATTTTTCGCAATTGTTTTGAAAAATTTCTTTGTGTAAAAGAAATTGTGACAAGTATGATTTTATAAATAACGCATGCATCTAGGAAAGAAATCATATTAGTATACAGGGAAAATTGGTTTAACATCCCTATCGAACTTTGGGTAGTAGGAGATCTCCACAATAATATTTTATGTTACTTAAAGTTCTTCACTCATTTTTTATGTTTGTAAAATACCTAATTTATCCTTTCTAAGATACGTTGATTTGGATTTGGAAAATTGAATATTTTATTGTTATGTTGTAGGAGATTGCGTAGGGATCCTGATTTCGATGGAGATTGCATATGGATTTCAACTTTTTATTTGATTTGTATGTAAGGATTCCGATTTCATATTAGGTTTTCGAGTTTATTTTGAGTTAAGTTTTTGTTTTGATTGTGTTAGTTGTTCCAATGGAATTGCTTTTGAGGTGTTATTCGTTCTTTTGTAATGGAGTTGATTTCTGATCATGGAGGTGTTGTAGTGGAGTTGATTTATGATTGTGGAAGTGTTGCATTGTTTTGATTTGATTGTTTTCAATTTCTAGTGGAATTGAATTAGGTATGCTTTGTCAATCACTAAACTGTTGTTCTCTGTTATTGATGCGTTTGAGAGAGAGAATAGTTTAGTGTGCAATATGTTTATGATATGTAAGTTTCTCTAGATTAGATTTTCTGTATTTGAGCAATGATGTAGTTTAGTGTGCAACATGCTTATAAGTTTATAATTTTCTCTAGACTTTTATTTGAAGTTTGTAATTTTCTTTGGACATGTTATTGTCTCTTGACATGCTATTTTGTAGTTTGTAATTTGCTATGGATATGTTATTATGAGTTTGTTATTTGTGATTTTTAATTTTTTCCAAATTAGATGAATGGATTGGAAAATTAATAGGAATTTGTGAAATAGTTAGCAAATAAGATTTTCTTTGTGATTTTTCTGTGTTTTTTTGGAATAGTTAGCAATTTGTGATTTGATCTGAATGTGTTTTTATTTTTGTGATCTTCCAAGTGAATTTATATTTATAAGGTTAGTTTGTATATTCATGTTTATTTTTTAGTTGTAGTTATTTTAATAAAGAGAAATTTATATTTTGTTGAGTTTGTAAATTTCTCTGTTGTTTTATTTTTCTCTAGACATGTTTTATTGTTATTTTTCTCTGTTTGTAAGTTTTTATGTTTATGTTATTTTCTTGTGTTGTGCCTTTTATGTGTTTTTATGTGATTTTCAAATTTATCTAAATTGAACAAGTTGATTTTTATGTTTATTTATTTATTTATTTATTTATTATTATTATTATTATTATTATTATTATTATTATTTTGCAGTTTAGATGGATATGTCAATTTATTGTGCAAATATGAGAATGATACTATTGTCATTAATGTTGATATATATCATCAAGCATACTCGTTTTCAATTGGCTCAATTACAACTGTTGGGGAACCTGATTTTAGCATTGATGATGCTATGATTTTATCACCATTGAGTAAAAGGCCAGCTGGTAGGCCAAAGACTAACATCATTGCTTCTAGCCGAGAGTTCAAAAGGGTGATGAAGTGCAGTCGATGTGGGAGTATTGATCGCCATAATAAGAGGACATGCAAGGAACTTTTAGTTAGTAGTTAAAGATATCCATATGTTTTAAATGTTTACATTACATTTTCCATTGCATTGATACGTTTTATTGATTGAATAATACATTTTTTATTATTATTATTTTGGATGTGATGTGATTGCGATAAGTTGAGGATATTAGAAGAATTTTGGTTACATTTTTTTATGTTGGTTAACAGAGAAGAATTTCTCTATGAATAGAATTTCTCTATATACCTTGTGTTCTTGATAATTGTTCTTAAAGAAGAATTTCTCATACCAGAGAAATTTCTCTTCGTGAAATTCTAGTAACTTTATACTAGAGAAATTTCTTACTGGAATTCTGGTAATTTCATACCAAAGAAATTCTTGTAACTTGGGTACAATCACAAAGAAATTTCTATGATTTTGGTAACTTTTATCTATCACATTTAATTTGCCCAAACTTAGGTAGAGTCAACTCTATAACACACTATTGTTGCAAAGCATTCAATACCATGAAAAATGGTCAAACTATGTCATAAAGGAATTTCTCTATGAATAGAATTTTCTCTATGTACATTGTTCATACCAATGAAATTTTGAAAAATTGATTCATACCAAAGAAATTTACATGAGTTTTCCTTCAATAGATCAAAGAAAATATAATAACAATTCCTAATTACATGGGTCATTTACTAATGCAATGTACAAGATTTACAAACTAATGTTTATATGATTACAAAAAATTTGTAAATTTTTTCTATGATGTAATTCATTTGTCTTCTTTTGAGTTTTCTTTGACTGCTTCTGGTTACTTTTAGGTCTTCTTCTAATATTTTCAACTAGTGTTACAAATGATCTGGCCACTTCAGTTGCAAATCTTTCTATGAGCTCTGCTCGTATCAACTGACTTCTTTCATCGACAATTTTTCTTTAACAGCTTGACGGGTGGTTCTGTTGCCTTTCGACATCGATCTAAGCTTATAACTCCTTTTTTCCGGTGTGTTGTTTTTTTTATTTAAGCTCAAAACTACTAGATTGAGATGTCCTCTTTCTTTTTTCTTTTCTTTTTTTTTTCTTTCCATTTTCTAGACAATGAAAACATATAACTATCAATCAACATGCCAAAGAAATTCAAATATACAATAGGGTAAAAAGTGTGTTGTCAGATAAATTACACACACACATAAACAAACATAGAGAAAATCAACATGGCCAGAGAAATTACACACACAGACAAACATGCACAAGCGATCACTAAGCAAGTGTGTAATGGCCAGTGAAAATAAACATGTCAAAGAAGTTCTATCTATCAAGTGGAGTGTAATGTGGGTAGTGAAAATTAAATGCAGAAAAGGGTACAAAGTGTGTGCTGGGCAGAGAAATTTCACACACACACACGCGCACGCGCACGCGCGTGCGAACAAACTTAGAGAAAATAAATATGACATATAGAAAATCAACATGGCCATAGAAATTACACACAGACACACATGCACAAAAGAGTACTAAGCAAATGTGTAATAGATAAAGAAATTTCAAATCTCAAGGAGGGGAGTGGGCAATGAAATTCCAAACACACACTTAGATAAATTCAAATGCACAAGAATGCACTAAGTAAGTGTGTGATGACTAGAGAAATGTTATATCTCATTGGGCAAGTATAATGTGGCCAGTGAAATTCAAATGCATAATAAAGTACTATATAAGTGCGTGATGGCCAGAAAAACTCAACATTGCTAGAAAAATCACACATACATAAATTTCTTTGGCCATTACACACAAAAATTTAATTAAGGCTTTTATCATAAGAAAATCAGCTGATTAGGGGTTGATACTTTTACAAATTTCTCTATAAAGACATTGAAATTTGGCCCATGCTTTTAGAAAGAGAAAATCAATTAAAATAAGGTTTCGATGATTTCACAAATTTCTCTAAAATGGCAGAGAAATTTCAGTTTTACAAATTTTTCTAGTTATCATACAAAAATTTGATTAAGGTTTTTAGGCAAACAAAATCAACTGATCAAAAGGTGATACTTTTACAAATTTGTCTATAGAGACAGAGAAATTTGGCCTAGGGTTTTAGCTAGGAAAAATCAACTAAAATAAGGATGTTTTCACAAATTTCTCTAAAATGGCAAAGAAATTTTATTTTTACAAATTTCTCTGGCCATCACACAAAATTTTGACCAAGGCTGTTAGGAAAATAAAATCAACTAATCAATGGGTGATACTTTCACAAATTTGCCCATAAAAACAGAGAAATTTGGCCTAGAGTTTTAGTTAGGTTTTGATGCTTTCACAAATTTTCACTAAAATGACAGAGAAATTTCATTTTTACGAATTTCTTTGGCCATCACACAAAAATTTGACCCAGATATTTAGGAAAACAAGATCAACTGATCAAGAGGTGATACTTTCACAATTTTGTCCATAAAGACAGAGAAATTTGGCCTCGGATTATAGCCAGGGAAAATCAACTAAAACAAGGTTTTGATATTTTCACAAATTTCTCTAAAATGGCAAA